TTTTTTTTAAGCGTTTTATGCATGTATGACTATGGAGACATAAGCTTACATTTGAATAATTTAGTCAGTATTAAACTCAAGTCAAATCAGCTTTCCATGGAAATCATGGCAATACAATACACTGAAGGGTTTCACAAAACCAGTGGTCGTGGAGGGAAACAATGGGGGTTGTCTTTTTGTGGTCTTGGAGATTTTTTCATACAATAGAAGCCTGCAAATAATTTTGCCTTTAAGCAGGTCATTTGTCAGGCCAAGGACAAGTTTTGACCTGACAAAAAGTCAGTCTGGTCGGACAAAATTTTTTGGTCATTAGAAAAAATAAGAGACATTTGATATATTTTTGTATTTCGGTGTACACCCTTTGCCAAAATTCTAGTTGCAAATTCAAATGGCTTGAAAGTAAAGTCAACTCAGTGTAAAATCGATACTAGCACCAGAAAGGGGACCTTAACATTAATTATAAGTCAGGTATTATTTTACCTGTTGAAAATTAACAAATTTACAAACGTTTGTACCCCTAGTCATTCACACACCTAAATTTTAGGAATTTTAAAAATCGTGATTTCTCAAAGAAATTGTGGCATATTGCCTTAATTTTTTTCCTTATTTCTATTATTTGACATTTTAATCCAAGCTCTTCCTTGCTATGGGGCATTATATTTATCGTACAGATTGAAATTTCAGTTGTCATTTTGGAGAAGGGTCTGTTACATCTTGCGACGATACTGCTAGTGATTGATCACATGTGTGTTTCGTATTTTCCCGCATATCAAGTTTCCCAGGACATCTAAGGAAAACCATGGGAAAAGCAACAAAACAATCTCCTGCATGGACTGCTTGTCAGTATAAAAACTCACAATTACATTCAGGGCTTGAAAATTGGCTGAAACGAATTCTTCGACTTTTTCTGAAAGCAATTTTCCCCTGAAAATTTTCAGGGTCGATTGAATAAAAAATTTGCCTAATGAGATGAAATTGGAAGTGGAAGTGGTCATGACTACAAAGCATGACTAATTTGTACATTCACGCTTTACACAAAAACATGTGTGTGGTTGAACCACAGATCTAAAAAAAACTACAAAGATCTATAAAACTGATTGGTTACCTTTTAGAGGTTTTAAAGTTTTTGAAAGCGATTGCATTCAGATAAACAAATGTGAGAATTTCGTGATTTAATTTAAACAAATTCCTATGAAAGGTTGCATATTAACTACATTTGGCACTGTAAATCCTGCGGTGAGGCTTATTATTTGTCTGAATGAAAGAAATTGAAAGTGTGGCATTGGTAAAAAGGTCTGTTGCAGTCTGGCTACATGACCAGGCCATCAAGAAAAAAACTAGCCAGAATATAAACTGAGAACAATTCACTGATACAGTCAAACCTCTCTAATACAGACACAGAAGGGACAGAGCAAAGTGTCCATATTAAAGAGGTATCTGTATTGGAGAGGTCGTTATGATGGCGTCATTTTTAATTCTCCACTGACAGTTTAGAGTGTTTAGTAATGAAAATCAGGCCCAGAAGTAAACATGTTCTGGTATTGGTAACGGTGAATGATAAAGTGTCAATGTTTATAAGTGAAACTGCCAACAAGGAATGGTATATACTGCAAATTATCAAAACCTGGTCTCCAGAATGTCTGTAATATAAGAGGTTAAATTTGTATGAATTTGTTCCCTA